TGGGTGACAGAGTGAGACTCCAACTCAAAAAAAAAGTAGGGGCCAGGCACAGTGGCTCACACCTCTAATCTTAGCACTTTGGGAGGCTGAGGCAGAAGGACTGCTTGAGTCCAGGAGTTTGAAACTAGCCTGGACAACATAGTGAGACTTATCTACAAAATTTTTTAAAAAAATTAGCTGGTCATGGTGACACACACCCATAGTCACTGCACTCCAGCCAGGGTGACAGAGTGAGACCCCAATAAAAAACAAGGGGGGTGGCTGTGTGTGGTGGCTCATGCCTGTAGTTCCAGCACTTTAGGAGGCTGAAGTCGAAGGACTGATTGAGCCCAAGAGTTTGAGACCAGCCTAGGCAACATAGCGAGACTTCATCTCTACAAAAAAAAAAATTTAGCCGAGTGTGGTGGTGTGCGTATAGTCCCAGCCACTCAGGAGGCTGAGGCAGGAGGATAGCTTGAACCCAGGAGTTTGAGGCTGTGGAGAACTGTGATTTGCTACTGTACTCCAGCCTCGATGACGGTCAGACCCTGACTCAAAAGAATAAAAATGAAAAATAAGGAAAAGTTTTCCTGATACCCGTTTCTTTGTTTTCAGATGTACCCATACGCTCCCACCGGGTTCCCCGGCATGTGACGAGATCTCACAAAGGCTGTTGGTGGAGTCCCACACCAGCAGGGCAGTGCTTATCTTCACCAGAAGATGGCGCAGGCTGCCTTCTGAAATTCCCTAGAAGGTCTGGGGGGAACGCTTCCAGACCATCTCACCTCTAAACTGACTGAGAACACACGTTCTCAATGGCAATGCTAAGAAATACTCTTCTAAGGATGCACTGCTGAATTATTTTGGTTTCTCTACAGCAAGTGGCCAGAGAACGGGAAGGCCATATACAGCCTCTGTGGTTCCCGAGGGACTGCCATGCACCCTGCAGGTGCTGTGTTTGCTAAACACACAACCCTGGATAAATCTCTTCACTTCAATTAGTCTGTTTTAGATCTGAAGGCCTTGAGCGAGGAGAGCCTCTGAGAACACCACAAACAGTGGTGTTGCAAGTACACTGTCTTCCCCCTCAATCCCACCAAAACAAAACATGGTGTTCCTGTTAGTGATTCAGGTAGGATCAGCTGGAAATTTCTAAAATGCAAGCCCAACATTGCATGAGGTGTTCAGCTTTTATTTAATCGGGAAATCACGAACTGCCAAGTCCTAGCCTGTCAATCTACACAGATTTCATTGAAAATTAAAATAAAAACCACCCTAAGTCTTGCCCATAGCGGTCCTTGAAGGAAATCAAACATGCAAAAAAATACTGCAAAAGAATGAAAAATCCAGCCTGCTCCCAGTTCCTTCACCCGTGCAGTTGGACATTGGGACACATGTTCCAGGACAGTCAACAGGCATGACTTGGGGAGCTTCAGAAGCCAAGGCTGGAGGATGGAGCAAAACTGGAAGAGTGCATCCCTCAGCCCTTCCCTGGTTTTCAGGATCTGAGCAGCCACCCACCTGAAGTCCCAACAGCACATGTCAAGCGCAGTGAATAGATCTTCCTCTGCGCTTGCCTTCCCATTTGTAAAATGGAGGTAGAAGCAGCAGCTACCACAGAAGGTTCTCATGAAGACTGAAGGAGGTGATGTTTATGTACATAATATATACAATGCTTGACAAAGAGAATGTGAACAGCAAGAATTACTGGCCACAATTATTACCACTATTGCTATCTCTTGTTGTTGTGGATCTCTGTCCCACATCCTCTCTCCAGAGTCATTCCTCTAAGGCTGGGGAGGATGCCACTCTGGGGGCAGGGTCTGTAGAAGCAGGAAAGCTTCAGGTAAGTAGTTCTAGACTCATCATCCCCAGGGAAGGAGTCCAACTGTGAGTCTCTCTGGGGACATTTCCAGGGACTTACCTTTTGCTTTCACACCCTGAGCAGTTGACAGTTCTCTGCATGGCCTTCCTCTTTATGACATTTTCCTTCAGCAAGTTCACATCTCGGGGAAACAAGCCCTCCATCAGGTCCATAGTTGTCTTCATTCTGGAGTCTGGATCCAAAATGTCTGCCAGAGATTTGTCTCGGTGGACAATTTCCTTGGCCAGAGCCTCTGTTCTGATGTCTTCCGAGCTCTTCTGAGGATCAGAACTGACTTTCTTTTCTAAACCCTGAGTTCCATTGACTGGACTGTGAATGAGGTTTTCAGTCCGGAGGGGTGGTGGCTGCCCGCCAAGAGACCCAGCAAGCTGGGGATGAACGCCCACGATGGAGCAGGGGCTGGACTTGCTGGCCTCTGAACCCTTGATGGAAGCTTGGGGTCTGGAAACCAGTATCTGACCACCACCCAAATGGGCTGTACCAGGCATGTGCCTTTCCCTGGCAACCATCACCTTGGAAAACCTGTTGGAGCTGCCAGGGATACAAAGAGGGAGCGTGGTTAGAGAAGAGTCGCCAGAGGGTAGTGATGAGGGTGGAGGGAGACCGAGGGTCACTTCCCGCATCTGCAGCAGGGTGAGGTAGTCACATTTCTGGGGTTATTAGCCCCCTCAGCCCACAAATCCCAATGATCTGAAGGGCCTTCTCCTGAGCCCAACAGCTAGTCCCAGGGAGGCTGTCATCTCCCAAGGAAGCTGGGTCCAGCAGGAATTCAATTTTGGTGGGTGTTGCTATTGGACTCCAGAGGACTCTAAGGTCTGAGTGAACAGAGGGCTATGGTAGCCTGGTGGCATTTAGAGGGAGTGACCCCAAAGTTGGTATTGAGCAATGTTTCTGGGGTCTTGAGAGATCACTTATCCCAGGGATTCTGTATGGGAAATGCTTCCTCCTAGTTGCTTCTGGCTTCCAAGAAGAGTATTCTCTAAATGTCACTGATCCTCAGCCGTCCCCCTTATTCTTCCCTATAGATACTGAGTGACTTTGAAGAGAAGTTGACCATTCATGCCCTGGCCCCTTCTTTCTCAAGTGAGGCTGCCTTGAAGCTGTGTGTGTGTGTGTGTGTGTGTGTGTGTGTGTGTGTGTGTGTGTGTGTGATCAGCATGACCTGTGACTAGCAAGTAAACCTGTGTGTAATATGGGGGTTTGGTATCAGGAGACCCACTTATAGGTAGACAGAGGTCACACTCTTCCACATCAGCTCGAGCAGTAACACAAGTGATAATTCGGTCTTCCATGGGCCTCCTTCTTTTGTTTTATCTCTTAACTGATTAAGAACTCAGCCAGGTAGGGGCATTTATTTGGACCTCTTGAACCTCTCATGTCAGAGACATTATACAAGTCGTCTGGGGTCTGAACTTCACTCCCGCCCTCGCTCTTTGGTCTTCAATGAGCCCTGGTATAACTACCTTCCAAGACAAACAAATGGACAGCTTCATGAGCTGAGGCTCTCCTGTGACCAACAGAAGGCCCCAGGATGCCTAGCGTGGCAGTCTCCTGTTGGCAGAGGAAACCCTTTCCTACTCAGTGGAGGCCCACCCTGCTTGGAGTCTGCCTGCTCACCTGGTGCGAGGCCCCCGGTGGCCCTCGCTGTCCAGCTGCTCACCAGACACAGCTTGGGGAGGAGGCGGAGGAAAGTCATCTGAGCTGCTCACTGGGGCCTCCAGGCTCAGTGGAGGAGGTGGGGGTGGGGGAAGCACTTCGAATGTGGGGCTGGAAGTGGCCTTCGGGCGCAAATCCCCTGCAAACACATCATCATCACAGTCCTCCCGAGGGGGTGGAGAGTCCTGCAGGACGGACTCGGATATTCGGAGGGAGATCCTCCCTGGAGGACTAGGGGCCCCGAGAGGCGTGTCAGGGTCAGAAGTGCTGCGTGAACTTGGAAGACTCTGCTGCTTTTGATAGTGCTTCAGGCTTGCAAGCTCAGGTGACGAGGGCTGCTCAGGAAGGCTGTCCTCTCTGATGGCATGTGCCCACTTCACCCAAGAGAGAGGAGAGCGCTGAGGCAGCAAGACCCTCTTCCTTGTTCCGCCTTCTCCTCCATGCTCTGGGACGTCAATCTCATAGCCTCTTGGACTGGGAGGCTGGGTCAGGGTGTGACCATTGCTTCTGTGGGTTGTGGCAGGGGTGAAGGGCGGAAGAGGCTGTCGCCCTGCCTGACTGTCCCTTCCCATCTGCTGGTCTGTGGCCACCTGTGAACAGCAGCCAGATGCAACAGGTGAAGGCAGAGGGGAGCTGAGTGGAGCTAGTGGTGCAGCCTTGGTGTCTGCCAGATGCCCTTGCGCTCCTGCTGTCGGTGGCCTGGCACAGGGTGTGCTGCCAGCCTGCCTCTGATGGTCCGGGGTTCCAGGATGTTCACTGGGAACTGAGGTGCCCCAGTGAGGGGCAGGACGGCGAGAGGTCAACGGCGTCTCCTCTCGGCCCCTTCCTGAACAACCAAGTGACCTAGAACAGGACATAGACATAAGAACTACAGCTCTGAAGGCAGAGACCAGCCCAGGCCGAGGTTTATTACACAGATGAGACAAGCATTTCAGGGAAGAAGGACCTCCCTCTCACCCCCCAGAAGCTGTGCCCTATCTTCCTTGGTGGTTCATGGAAGGAACCGAGTAAAAGTCTAGACAGACACAAGCACCTACAGGAAGATGTCACATAGGCACTGTCTTTCATCAGCCCTCTCTCCTCACACATTCCACGCACATGGGGCAGCTTTTTAGGACAGGCTTCATGATATAAAATGAAACGTGTCGTGCATTTATTCAGCTCCTTGTAGCACTCACTACTTCAGGAAACAGTCCTGGCTTGGGAGAAGAATGCAGCCTCACTCTCCTGGGATGAGTCCCGGGAAGGCCTTGGGAAAGCTGCTAGATGTGAAGGTTTAAAGACAGCCTTCTCTTGGTCTCCTTGTACTCGTTTCATGAGATGAAAAATAAGGAGGGGGACCCTCACACAGGGGTTAGTGAACAGCTTCTGCTAGAGAGAGACTACAAGAAGCAGGCATGGCACCTGGTGGCTCAGATGACTATCCTCCAGGCCCAGAAGAAAAACCCAGGAATTGGGTTTTTTGTTACTGTGTTCTAAAGGGAAAATGGGAGAATGAAACAAAGAAAACAGTGTCCGCAGTGTGGCCTGCTGTGTGAGTGCTGCCAGGAGCAGAAGTCGTCTCCAACAAGGCCCGTGGATGCGGCAGTTCCATGGTGGCTCCCAATGGCTATGCAAGTGGGTATGGAGAGGTACGGCACTCCTCACAGCATCCAGACTTCGCCCATCAGATACTAACACAGGGCCCACACTATGCTCCCAGTACCAGGCCAGCACAGTGCAACATGTGGGGACGGGGGTCCATGTGAGAACTTCTTCCTTTTTGACTATCCATGTAATATGTAGATGAGGGAAGAGGCCCATCTCTCTCAGATGCCAGCCCTCCCTTCCCACCACAGGTTCCTGTTGGCTAGACAGGTTTCTTCCCCAGGAACCGCCCTGTATCTTAGATTGTCTGCTCTGTGCTTCTTGGTGGCTTCCCCAGTGGGAACATTAGAGACCCAGAGGAAGGAGTTCCTCTGGGGATGCTCCTGACTGCTGTGCTCCTTCATTCTGGTCTCTAGCACCTGGCACAAGGTCCTCCCTACATAAATGTCTGTTGAGCAGTGATGTCTCCTCTGCCAGGCTGCTCTCTATACTGTAGGATAAAAGCTACTTTTATACTCAGCATCCTCTAGGAGAACATGGAGTCAAATGGAATTCAATGTTTTAGTGACTAATTCAGATGCCTTTATTTGTTATACTTATATCTTCAGGCTTTTAAAAAGGGGAAGGTGTCACTAAATCATATAATACTTATCCTTTCTTCCAAAGAGGTTGTACTAGTCTGCATTCCTACCAGTAGTGTAGACGCATTCCTTTTTCTCCACATCCTCAGCAGCATCTATTGTTGTTTGTTTTATTAATGATGGCCATTCTTACAGGGGTTAGGTGGTATCTCAATGTGGTTTTGATTTGCATTTCTCTGATGATGAGTGAGGCTGAGCACTTTTTCATGTGTCTGTTGGCTGCCTGTATATCTTTTTTTGAGAAGTGTCTATTCATGTCTTTTGTCCACTTTTTAAAGGGGTTGTTTTTTTCCTTTCGGCGCATTTTGAGTTCCTTGTAGATCCTAGAAGTTAGGCCTTTGTCAGATATACAGTTGGCAAATATTTTTTCCCATTCTGTGGGCTGTCTCCCTGCTCTCTTGATGGTTCCTTCTGCTTTGCAGAAGCTCGTAAATTTGATGAGGTCCTATCTTATCTTGTCTTATTTCTTAAGGTATTGGCCTCTTTGGAAGACAGTGTGGCGATTTCTGAAAGAACTAGAAATTGACCTTTCATATGACCCAGCAATTCCCCTATTGGGAATATGCCAGGAGGAACTCAAATTATTTTATGAAAAAGATACCTGCACACGTTATGTTTGTTACAGCTCTATTCACAATAGCAAAAACATGGAACCAACCGTGTTGCCCATCGAAGCTCAACTGGAGAAAATAAATGTGGTACATATACACAATGGAATATATGGACTATGCAACAACTTGGATAGATTTGGAGTTGATCCTACTCAGCGATTTATCACAGAAACAAAGAACTGAGTTCCATATGTTCTCACTCATAAGCTGAACTTGAACAATTATAATGCTATAAGAAAGTGATTGGCAGTAGTGGAAAACTGTCGGGGGGGGGTGGGACTGGCAGTTGAGGGAAACTGCTAGTGGAGGGAGGGGAATACCTCATCAACAAGGGTACCTGCATGATCAATGTTATATGCCTAGCCCTGAATTGTACCCCACATCTTTATAATAAATAAATAAAAAGAAAATTTAAAAAAATACTTATCCTTTAAAGATGCAGCCCAATAAACCTCGATATGATGTTTTTAGTTTATATTTGACCTTAGTTTACATGAACCATACTAAAGTTGAATATTTTTTGAAGATAATATTTGAATTAAATGCTTAGTTTGATTTAGAATGTTTCTTCATGGTGACTGGTTACTGTTTTTCAGGAACAAAGTTTGGGATAAAAAAAGATTTTGTTCGAGACCCTTTTATAATAGGGTGAGCGGCTCACACAGAGTCTGTTGATATGTATCCAGGAACCCTACTATTCAAGAATGGAATTTGAGAGCAATTAGTCTCACTTAAAAAAAAAAAAAAGCACTTTTGGCTGGGCTCAGTGGCTCATGCCTGTAATCCCAGCACTTTGGGAGGCAGAGGCTAGAGGATTGTCTGAGTCCAGGGGTGGAGACCAACCTGGGCAACTTGGTGAAACCTTGTGACTACAATAAATCAAAAATTTAGCCAGGTGTGGTGGCCTGTGCTTGTGGTTCCAGCTACTTGTAAGGCTGAGGCAGAAAGATCACCCGAGCTCAGCGGGTCGAGGTTGCAGTGGCCATGAGTGTGCCACTGCACTCCAGCCTGGGAGACAGAGAGAGATTCCTACTCAAAAAAAATACAATAACATAATTTTAAAACTTTTTTTTTAAATTGGAGTCTCACTTTGTTGCCCAGGTTGGAGTGCAGTGGCATATTCACAGTCACCCCAGCGTCAAACTGCTGGGCTCCGGCGATCCTTCCGCCTCACCTTTCCAAGTAGCTGGAACTACAGGTGCGTGCTACCGCACCAGGCTAATTTTTTTGATTTATTGTAGAGACGAGGTCTTGCTAAGTTGCCTGGGCTGGTCTTGAACCTGAAGGCTAAGGCAATCCACTCACCTCGGCCCCCCAAAGTGCTGAGATTATAGGCTATGCCACTGAGCCCGGCCTTAAAAAACTTTTTTAAAAGTATTTTTAAAAATTGAGGCAAAGAAAACGAAACATAAAATTCTGTCTTTACCCATTTTTTTGGTCTTTTTTTTTTTTTAAATCGAAGGTCCCTTACTGGTTCTGCTTCCATGAATGACTGTGACCAAGGGAAAAGGGAGAGGAATCAGCTAGCATGGAGAGGTCATCTCCACAACATTCCATTAGTACACTAAACAGACAAGCACTGAGTCACTATGCGGTTAGAAGCTGGCAGCATGGGACGGGGGAGGAACAGAAATACAGGCCCCCCTGCAAACTGGGGTGCCTGGGGGGAACTTGGTCTGTTTCATCCTAAGAGGGATCAAGATCAAAAGTGGTTTGGGAAGGCCAGAACCATCAGGGATGGAGGGAGGGAAATTCAGGAGGTGAGGGTGGGGGGGCTGTTTGGCAACTCTGGCATCTTCACCATTTTTAATTGCACAATTTGGTAGTGTTAAGTATGTTTACACTGTTGTGAAACATCTCCAGAACTTTTACATTTTGCAAACCTGAAACTCTGTACCCATTAAGTAACAGTTCCCTAGTCCCTCTTGCCCTCAGTAATCACCATTTTACTTTGTTTCTATACCTTTCACTACTTTAAGTCCCACATATAAGTGGAATCATACATATTTGTCTTTTTGACTGGCTTGTTTCACTTAGAATGTCCTCAGGGTTCATCCATGCTGCAGCATATGTCAGAATTTCCTTCCTTTTTAAGGCTGAATAACATTCCATTGTATGTATAGACCACATTTTGTTTATCTGTTCATCTGTCAATGGACATTCAGGCTATTTTCCATCTCTTGGCTACTGTGAATAATGAATAATGCTGCTATGAACATGGGTGTGCAGATATCTCTGAGTCCCTGCTTTCAACCTGCTGGATCATGTGGAAGTTCTATTTTAACATTCTGAGCAATCTCCATGCTGTTTTCCACATGGTTATACCATTTTACATTCCAGCTAACAGTGCACAAAAGTTCCAATTTCACTACATCGTCACCAATACTTGTTTTACAGTAGCCAAGCTAACAGGTGTGAGGTGACATCTCCCTGTGATTTTGATTGTGTAGTTCTCTGATGACTGGTGGTATTGAGAATCTTCTCATATGCTTGCTGGCCATTTGTCTGCCATCTTTGGAGAAATGTCTATTCAAGTCCTTTGCCTATTTTTAAATAGGGGTAGTTGATTTTTTTGTTGTTTAGTACTACCTTGGACCTCCGGCCAATTTCTTTTTAGCAGTGCTCTAGTTCACTGTTAGTTTCCCCTCGTCTCCAGCTTTTAATTACTGCACTAACCCACATCCTCAGCCTCACCTTGAATACCTTCTTCCCCCTCCACATGGGCTAGGGGACAGAGTAAGAGCACGTAACTGTGGAAAGCTGCTCTTGGCTGTAAAGCAGGAAACTTAATACCCACTTTCTGACCACGCTGGCTGCTTCTGCATGACAGTATTAGGCTGAGTTATTAAGAAGGTGAATGTGAAAGAGAGAGAAACTATGATTGAATGACATAAAAATTAAGGTACAGGCTTGAGAAAACATAAACAGGAATAGGGAAGGTTTATATACATTATTATTAGTAATGATGGATTGTGTAGATAGCTCTGTGATACCGCATTAAGGCTACATACAAGGCCATATGGCTTAGGGTAAACCCACCCTGGAAATGTCTACTTATCAATCCCCATGTGAATAGTGCAAACATTTAAATTCTAAAAAATTATCCATTATATATTCCCATCTAGGAGATGTGATTTTGATGGTAAATTTTTAAAAATGACTTTCCTGCTACTTTCTATCCCTGTGTGTATAAAATTCTGATTTTGAGTTTTATATTTCAACTCAGATGTTTTCTGAGAGTTGCCCTGCCCTGTGGAGTTGCTCATTAAATGCCCATTCTTCCCTAGCACTTTAGTCACCACACTTGATCCTCCACACAGAGATCTGGGAGAGGTGAGCCACACACGAGGCCCATGTGGGAGAGCCAAAAGGCATGCTGGGGCAGAGTACCTCCACTCAGTGTTCAGGTCAAACTTGTCACAAGTCATCCATTTCCTCAACAGCACGTGCTCAAACCTATTTTGAACACATGTAATTCTTAGGAAAAGCCACTTATAAATAAAAAATAGGGGGCATAAAAAATACATGTTCATACCTAGATCCAGGGCCAGCCAGATGACATGGGTCCTTCACAAAACCAAAGCCACTGTCTTCCCCCAAAAGCACTTCCTGGAAACACAAGAAAGATTCAACATTATTGCCAATAAACAGGTGTTTACCAAGGGCGTCAGGTAAAAAGGAGAAGGGATATTCATTGGCAACCTGTTATTGGCAACATGGTGTCATCTTACGTAAGACCACTGCATTGATGAGGAAATAGGTCCAAGGTAAGAAAAAAAAGTGGCTGAGTGAGAACTTGAACCTCTGTCTTTCTCATTCCCCTAACAAAGATGTTTCCTAAGTAAGAGAAGTACCACAACGATTATCTCCAGAGTTCAGAACAAACGCTATCCTTGAAATATGATGATAACAGCGAATTCTATGGGTTAAGATTCTGAAACTGCCAAAGGGAAATAAGCTAGATGTCAGAAAAAGGATGGTTGACTGCATTTTTTAAAAATCTCAAATGTTCTAAGTTATAATTAGAGACTGTATAAATCTGGTTGCAATAAATTCTCTCTGGGAAAAAATCTCACCCACATGTGATATTAATAACTCAGGGTCTTTTCAGGGAGAGTTTTTGTTTTTAGTAAGAGAACAGGCAAGGTACAGTAGCTCACGCCTGTAATCTTGGCACTTTGGGAGGTTGAGACGGGAGAATTGCTTGTGCCCTGGAGTTCGAGACCAGTGCTAGCAACATAGTGAGAGCTTGTGTCTACCAAAAAAACAAAAAAATTAGCCCAGTGTGGTGGTGGGCCCCTGTAGTCCTAGCTACTCTGGAGGTTGAGGCAGAAAGAGCATCTGAGCCAAGGAGGTTAAGGCTGCAGCGAGCTGTGATCATGCCACTGCACTCCAGCCTGGGTGACAGAATAAAACCCCAACTCAAAAAAAAAAAAAAAAAGGTATATATTGGTGTTCTAAGAGGATGGCAAATCAGTTTTTTTTTTTTTTTAAAGAGCTAGGAGTCTTGCTATGTTGTCCGGGCTGGCCTTACAACCCTGGGCTCAAGGGATCTTCCTGCCTCAGTTTCTCAAGTAGCTGGTCCTACAACCATCACATCTGACTCATAGGTCAGTTTTTGATAGTGTAAAATTTGGTCCATGTGCTCAAGTCCATGATGAAGATGATGATACACAGTCACCTCTTGATTATTTGTGATAGTATGAGTCAGGTAGAAAACAGAAAAATCAAACGCATATATGATCCCTAAACTTAATTTCAGTGACTAACTTCATCATCAGCTCTGTCCAAAGGGCTGCTTTTCACCCCTTCCTCAAAATTCTCCCCTATGACAGTGACAGAGGTACTAATTAGCAATAAAGAGTCAATGGTAGCAGCAGGCAGAAGAAGAAATAAACACCTAAACATTATTAGTAACTGCACCTGCCCCTTCTCGGGTATTTACTATGTTCCAGACACTCTGCTAAGTACCTTGCAATCCACGTCAAAGCCCAAGTTCTTCCCAAGGAATCTTAATAGATCGAATGGCTGCTTAGTTGGGTGCAATAAAACTTGAATGACTTGAGAAAAATAAACTCCATGTGTTCTGACTCACGCAAATAACGCTGTATGGAATGGGAATTGCTGCTCTCCCTGGAACTTCACAGTCTTTTTAAAGTCTCTCCCACAATTCTTCCCTCTGTTGACATGAATGTGTCACTCTGCCAATAATTAACTGGAAGAGTCTGGGCCCCATTTGAGCTCCTAACCAAGTAAAGTATAAAGATATTTTCACATTCCATTCATTACATCTTTTGCTTTTCAGTTTGAGAATGAATTTAACTTCTGTATTCATATCATTTGGCCCCTGAAATGTTAAACTTAAATTGACATTTATGTGGGTGTGCACAAAATAAAGAAAATTAGGCCCAGTAATAAACTATTGAGAGAATTCTCTAAATCTCCTGTCAATCAAAATTCCATTAAAAAATCAAATGCATATATGAGCTCTAAATGTAATTTCAGTGATTTATTTCATCATTAGCCCTGTCCAAAGGCTGCTTGTCACCCCTTCCTCCAAATTTTCCCCTATGACAGTGGCAGAGGTACTAATCAGCAATAAAAAGACTCAATGGTAACAGCAGGCAAAAGAAGAAACAAACACCTGCACATTATTAGTAGCCACAGCTACCCTTTCTTGGGTATTTGCTGTGTTCCAGACACTCTGCTAAGTACGTACGTTGCAATCCACATCAAAGCCCAAGATCTTCCCAAGGAATCTTAATAGGTTGAATGGTTCAAGCCCAAGGAAGAGAAATTCATTTTCTTGTTTTAATTTGCTCTTATATTCACTGTTCAAGACCTGACTTTCTACAAACTGGTAGGAAGTATAAAGTATTTATTATGGCAATATGGGGAAAAAAGGAGTAGTTATGGGGTAAATACTAGGCACAGAACTATACTAACTTATTAAGTGTCTACTTTATTTTTGCTAATAATCTCAAAACTGACTTAAAATTAGTCCAGGTCTTGGCATATTTAATAGTGTAAACCTAAATTCTACTGAATCCCGGCCTTCTTGTTTCAGGTTCTAAGTTGGATATCCTAGTATCTTTGTGACTGATGAAATATGAAGAAAACAATATTAACCTTTTGTACTTGGATGTACCTTCTGAGGGGACATTGTAAATCCAGCAAGTCACTCGGATGTCCCGTCTTAGAGGAACATAAAGAGATTGCTGGTGAGTAAAGAGGACAAACCTATGCCAGCCTAAATTTTTCAAAAATGTATGTTTCCTTGAAGTTTTCCACTCAAATTGCACAAAAAAGTAACTAAAGAGACAAGATATATACTGAGATATGATCAATCAGTTGAGAAGTGGTTTTCAGGAATCTTGAGTGTGTCCTTCCATATTTTTTTCGAACAACAAGCTGGACAATAAATTACATATTATTAATGTGGGAGGAAGAAAACAAGACTGCATTGTTCACTTGACTAGAAAAACACCAGGTGAGTCGGGCTCGGTGGCTCAGCCTGTAATCCCGCGCCTTGGGAGGCTGAGGTGAGTGGACTGCCTGAGCCCGCGGGTTCGAGACCCGCCTGGGCAACTTGGTGAGACCTCATCTCTACAATAAATCAAAAAATTAGCCGGGTGTGGTAGTGCGTGCCTGTAATTCCAGCTACCTGGAAGGCTGAGGCAGAAGGATCGCCGGAGCACAGCAGGTTGAGGCTGCGGTGACCGGGAGCGGCCACTGCACTCCAGTCTGGGCGACAGAGTGAGACTCCAACTCAAAAAAAAAAAAGAAAAAGAAAAACACCAGGTGAAGGATGTCCAACAGATTAATATTGCACAACATGTATCAATAAACCTGTAATGCATGTCGGTGACTGTTACCACGTTAGAAAAATATAAGATATAAAATTTTGATTTTTTGGTCATAAATAAGATCCTCAATGTCCAAAATTCAATTATATGCCAAATATCATTACAATAAAATAATTGGTTCCATGAACAATTTTCATAATAGTATAAGAAAAGGATCAGCAGTAGTGGCAGGGGAGAACATCTCACCAACAAGGGTACCTGCATAATGAACATTTGTATACCTAACCCTGAATTTTACCCATCTTTAAAATAAAAAATTTTTAAAAATTGGTTCCAGTGCTATACCATTTAATATGAAGTGATTTGTTTTTCACTATTTCGTTAAAAAAGTGGCCAGGTGCAGTGGCTCACAGCTGTAATCCCAGTACTTTGAGAGGCGGAGGCAAGAGGATTGCCTAAGCCCAGGGGTTTAAGACTGGTTGGGCAACTTGATGAGACCTTGTCTCTACAATAAATTTAAAAATTAGCCAGGCATGGTGACGTCTCCTGTAGTTCCAGTTACTTGGAAGGCTGAGGTGGAAGGATTGCCTAAGCCCAGCAGGTCAAGGTGGCAGTGGCCATGAGTATGCCACTGCACTCCAGCCTGGGTGACAGAGTCAGACTCCAACTCAAAAAAAAAAAAGTATGGTCAAATTGCTGGTAAGTAATCAGTATGGTGTCTCCAAGTGCAAAGGGTTAACCCATCTTAGAATATTAGTTTCAAGTGTCTACTAAATTTAGAAGTCCACGTAAGAAATATTATATGATTTAGTATTTTGTGTAAATGCAGCTACATGTCAGTTGGCGGGGATATGCTCTAAGGAATGCATTATTAGGGGATTCTGGCTTTGAGTGAACATCACTGAGTGTACTTAAAGTGCCCACTACACACCCAAGGTATCTGATGCAGCCCACTGCTCCCAGGCTACATGCCTGTAAACACGCACTACACAGCTGCAGGCAACTACGACTCAATGGTGTCTGTGGATCTAAACATAGAAAAGGCACAGCATGAATGTAGTATTATATGTGTGGGACCAATGCCACATATGCAGTCAGTCCTTCACCATTTTGAGGCACATTGACTGGCACAGTAATCAGTCAATTTCAACTGAAATCAACTCATTTACAGATAGTTTCAGATACAAGACCTTTAACTCTTGCTTCCCTCGCCCTACCCCAGGGTCTTGTTATTTAAGGAGAGAACATGGCCTAGTGATTTCAGACTAGAGTCAGACAGGGTGCGATGGCTCACCTCTGCAATCCCAGCACTTTGGGAAGCCAAGGCAGGAGGGCTGCTTGAGCCCAGGAATTCAAGACCAGCCTGGGCAACATAGCAAGACCTCTTCTCTGCAAAAAAAGTAGAAAGTTAGCGGGGCATGGTGGTGTGTACTTGTAGTTCCAGTTACTAGTGGGAGGCTAAGGTGGAAGGATTGCCTGAGCTCAGGAAGCTGAGGCCGTGTGGAGCCATGATCATGCCACTGCACTCCAGACTGGGAGACAGAATGAGAACCTGACTCAAAAAATAAAATAAAAAGCCAGACAGTATGGGTCAAAAGCTCACTTCCTCCTCCCTTGGGCAAATGTGCTTTATCTGTGCCTCAGTTTGCTTTTCTGTAACACAGAGATAATAGTAGTATCCACTTCACTGCATAGATGTGCAGACTAATTTTATTCTTATAGAATACCTAGTACAATGACTGGCACACAGTAGAAGTTTGATTACTTTTAGCAATTTGTAGCTTCACATTTTGTGGACAATTGTTATTTATTCCTAAGTTTGAGTGGGTGCTTGTGGACAGGTGCTAAAAAAAAAGGATTTACAAGCTGCATCTCACAGAATCAAGCCCACATTCAGTATTGTGGCCCCAAGCACTGAGTAACTTCCTCAGCCATTCAGTAGCACAAGTCACACCATCTCATAGTGAATATGCCACACATCAGACATGAAGGTCCCTAACTCAGCATCTGGAAAGAAAATCCCCACCAGGAATCTTGTTTCTCCAAAGGATTTTCTTTATAGGCTCTACTGCATTTTAGATCTATGCAAGAAACAGGAGTACATTTCTGTGTCCAAGGCGGAAATGTTGTGATATTTCTCTGTAGCTGCGCACGTCCCACCCATGTTTAAAAGGCTAACTTTTCTGAGGTCTCACAGAAAGTAGTGGAAACAGCCGAGGATGGTGTGTGTGTCAGCTCTGTCTCTAATACCTACCTACTCAATCTGCAAAGGAGAGGAATGAAAAGGAAGAAAATGGAAGGCTGCATGCTTCAGAGAAGATCCCAAGCTGGCAGGAGAGGCCCAGTCCTGCCTAATCTCTGAGCAGGTCTCAGGCTGCAGGAGTTCAAAACGCCAGCCTCTGCAGTGGCCATTTCAGGCTGGGGTGATCCACAGCCATACACAGAGAACTGATCTCCTGGGATGACTTGGATTCTGGAGGGAGACCCTGTCCTCGCTAAAGGAATTTTGAAAAGGAGGGTAGCACCCTCACTTCAGTTGTTTTTCTAAAGCTTTCCAAGTACTCCAAAGTATCTAATGGGGACTAGAAGGAATCTCTTCATGTCTCTGCCACATCTGTGTCTCAGTTCTCTGTTCCAACCAACCAGGTTTGAGAACTGGTTTGGGGAAAAGGCAAAACAACATTCATAGTCATCCACCAACTCCCAAGACAGGACTCATCTAAGGGGGATAAACAATAGATGGTTTGGGTTTCGCCTAATGTTTCTATTTCCTTTAAAACACCGGGAAAGAAATGAAGGAAATGTTTAGATGGCTATGCAGTAAGCTACCAAAGCCCATCACACTGCTGAAATTCCATGTTACGGGTTTGGATGAGTTCTGGTAGCCAGGCAGGGAAGTGACACGTCCTTCCTTCTGAGGGGGATGGCTCCTGAAGGCTGGAGAAGGACTGTCTGTGGGTTTATAAGAGGGAGAAAACATTTCTGGATGATTTGAAAAAGAAGAGATCTGGGAGGGTGCAGTGTTCTCTCTCTCTCTCTCTGTGTGGGTGTGTGTGTCAGCAACAGGGCAGCAAACTTCTCTGCCTGAAGTGGTTTCCTCTGATTCCCCACACCCTAATCCCTTGCCATCTTGCTCATCCTTTATGGCCTGGTCCAAATCTCATTTCCTTCCAGAAACACCCTTTTAGGTCACCTCAGACTTCATCACTTTCCCTCCCACATCATATATTTATCACCTTTCCCAACACATTTACAGTCATATTAGAGTTATTTATGCAGCAGCTCATATTCTTTGATTAATTGTAAATTCCAGAAAGGCACAGACCTGATAATCTTCCTTTGCATATCTTTCGATGCTTCCTTCATTTTTCAAATGGCATATGTTCTACAAATGCTAGCTGAATGGTTGATTTCTATGCGAGGGAAAATAGCAGAATCTGAGAAGGGGCCATGGAGGGGTTGTCTTTCTCCTCTGTGCTAACAGGTATATGAATTCCTAATACCTTCTTAGATGGGATCTAGCAGGAGTGGAGTCTGAGGATAGGCTTTGAATTAGCCAGTGAAATTAACAGACTCCTAGGAATGAGAAGACTTAGCTTCTATTCCTACCTCTGCTTGGAATTCCTAGTGGTAAGTACTTAATAATCTTTGCATAGTTTACTGGAAATCCTTTTATGTGAGATGTTGAGTCTCTGCTTTTCCTTCCTCATCAAGATAGTGCACAGAAAGAGCTCAGATGAAGTCAGAGACACATGAGCTTGACATGAATAATATACTCTATGGCACAGGATTATCATGAGGATTAAATGCAATAATAAATGTAAATCCCACTTAGCTCAGGACCTCGCCCACACTTAGCTGAGGGCCAGGCACTCAATCACCAACGACTATGAATGTCAATCATTCTATCTATTTTGTAGAAGCAATGTCCAACAGAAACAGAGAGGGTGCAAAGTGAAAACCTTATAATACTCAAACACGGTCTCTATTCCGTAAATAAGAAATAAAGAACACAAAATAGCAAAAACCAAAAAAGATAATACCTAATTTTCCCTCATCCTGTATTCTTGCATTGACATGTGGGATACTTCCTAAAACAGGGTTTAAAAAATATATCGCCAGATGTGGGGCTCAAGCCTGTCATCCCAGCACTTTGGGAGGCAGAGGCGAGAGGACTGCCTGAGCCCAGGGATTCGAGACCAGCCTGGGGAACTTGGTGAGACCTTGTCTCTACAATAAGTAAAAAAACTGGCCAGGAGTGGTGGCGCAGGCCTGTAGTTCCAGCTACTTGGAAGGCTGAGGTGGAAGGATCACCTGAGCCCAGCAGGTAGAGGGTATGGGTGGCCATGGGCGTTCCACGGCCCTCCAGCCTAGGTGACAGAATCCCAGCACTTTGGGAGGCAGAGGCGAGAGGATTGCCTGAACTCAGGGGTTTGAGATCAGGCTGGGCAACTTGATGAGACCTGTCTCTACGATAAATAAAAAAAATTAGCCAGGTGTGGTGGCGTGGGCCTATAGTTCTGGTTACCCGGAAGGCTGAGGCGGAAGGATTGTCTGAACCCAGCAGGTCCAGGCTGCAGTGGCTGTGATGGTGCCCCTGCACTCCAGCCTGGGCAACAGAGACTCCGAATCAAAAAATAAAAACAAACAAACAAAAATCTATCTATATACACACGTATGCATATATATTTCATGTGCTTATGTCTATTCATATACAAGTACATAAGGCATCCACATATCTTCATCTTTGTAAGTTAGCCAGGTGGGGCCCCAAATAGGTAATCAACGCAAAAAAACAATGCCACATTGCTGCATTTACAGGGAAAGTGCACCCGGCAGGGGGAGCAGCCGAAGAGTGGGGACTGCATGGTAGCCCGCGGGTGAGGAGGCATCCCAGGGCACGGCAGCTGCACCTACCTGGAGCCTTGTGCCTGCAGCGGTGGGAGACGACCGCGACCTCGCGTGGACAGGGGCGGCCGGCACGTGGGTGCGCTCCAGCAGGTCTTCGGCTGACAAGGACTTTGCAGCCCCCCAGGAGGCCCCGTCCCCACGCCGGGCACCCCCAGGCAGCTCCCTCGGGGCCTGGTCCACGCTGCGCTGCTCCCCGCGGAGGCGGCCGCTGCCCAGGGAGCCGCTGCGATCGCGGGGACCGGGCGGGCTGGCGGGGCCCTCGGGTGCGGGCGCCAGCCGTCGGCCGGTCTTGCGTTGCACGTATTCAGCCAGGGCGCTCTGCTGGAACTGCCGCAGCTCCGGG